TTCGCCCTAGGTATCCGTAGATCTGGTACGCGCCTGCTGGTGCCTTGATCAACCAGGTTTGAAGACGACTGGTCCGTCGTGTACCGGCCGGCTTCCTTCTTTTGGCTTCAGGTTCTCTTCCTTTTTTTTTTTTTTTTTTTTTTTTTTTTTTTTACCACGCAGTCCGTACACATGGCCATGATTCGCTTGGTCGCGAGGCGAGCTGAGATTCTGATACATATTACGTAGATCTTAAGAGACGCAATAAAGTGACAGGCCCCAGGGTTGAATAGGGCGAGTGTGCGAGGCTGGCTGGGTGGCTGTCCCCGCTATGTTGAACTTTTCTGGGTCAAAAGAGCCGCAGATCCTATTTGATCCCATCAGCACGGCCTTGGTGCCAATTCGCTGCCAGGTTGCTGCCATCCGCTGGTGGTACTCCGTACCAGGGATCGCCAACGGGACACAAACATTCCGAGGGCGGGCGACCAGGGTCCAGCGAAGATCACGGTGCACCGTGGCACCTCGTTTTCCGCCCTCCCCTCTTCTCCTGTGCTTGTCGCTCGCCCCTATTGATGGACAACCGAATGCCTCGCCAATTCCTCAACAGTTGGTGGGAGCGCGCGCGGGTGCGTGCGTGCGATGCGAATGCGTGGGTAGACGACGACAATGATAACGACGACCGGTGGCGATGCAGAAGGCAATAGACATTAGACGAAAATACTCCTTGGGCCTCGGCAGCAGATGTGAAGATGTGCGAACTATCTGTCAGAGTGCTTTTTGATTGATTTGATAGACGTCGCTGTCGCGCTGCCTTGGCCACGTCTGTGCTCCTTCTCCTCTGGATATTTTCGGTTACAATTCGTCATTCCTCAAGATGATGTACGGGATATGGTCGCGGGAAGCGGGAAGAGGGGTCTCTTCACCTCGTCCTTGCGTCGTTTGAAGAATTGTCATGGCAAAGCCACAAGAGCAATGGTAAGTTGGGTCGGGTTGAGTTAACCATCTCGAGTCGAGTCTGTGTCTTTGACGTCGTCTGGTGTCCGGATTTAGGGATCGGCCTCGAGGAAGAGAGGCGGTGGTGGGGGCTAGACGGAAATGGAAGGGAAAGATGGGAAAGATACATTGGCCGAGGTCACTTTGTTACTTTCCATTCCTCCCGTCTACTCTCCGTCTCCGTCTCCTTCTCTTTTTCTCTCCTGCCTTCCTAACGCCGTCTTCGTCGAGTCTCGCCTTCCCTGTACAGCCAAGATAGATACATCAGGTAGGTAGGAAGGTAGGTGCAGGGCATCTCGGGGAAACATTTGTGAGCAAGGCACTCCGTACGAATTCGCATTGTCCATGGGTCTTGGCTGCCTACCTTACGTATGGACCGATGACGGGAACAAAGTTTCAAGATTCGTATATTTTCATACTCTAACTTGCAAACAGGGGATACCGAGCTCATGTTTTCGTTACGTCTTGGACTTTTCTCCTCCTCTTCTGGACGAATACTTGGGGAACTGTGGTGAGATTGGCCGACATGTTTATTTGACTTTTCAGTGAGCAAGGGATTGAGAATGAGGGAGGGTTCTCGGCCGTGTTCTTACTATGTAGGTATCCCCCTCTACCCCCCACTGGCTTACCCTCCAATTACATGCGGCTAAATCTTCACGTCGATTCCGCATCTGGTATTGCATCAGATTGATTGACCGAATCATCCTGTCTTGGCACATGTTCCGTTGCCCGAAAATGTCCTACAAACTCCGTACCTACTGCGGTAGATAAACGCGTGCGTCTACTCCATACAAGGTTTTGCTGAGGAACGAAGCCATCATGAGATTGGAGCACAAACGCCCATCTGCCCACGAATATGCAACGGACGTGTACCTGTCTGTTAAGTAGACAATACTTTCTCAACTCATTCGACACTCGAGACTTATTTGTGTGAATGCATGAAGGTACACGAAAGATTCCTTATCCACCATGCGATGCAATGTACGACGGGCGCACCATGTCGCGCCGTCCGTCTTCCGCCTTCTCCCTCGCTTTTCTTTGTCCCCGCCGCTCATCGCTCTTCCCATCTGCCCCGTTCTGCTGCCATAATCCTCGTCATGATCGACACTGGTAAAGCCCACCCGCTCATCTGCAGCAGAACATCCCCGATCTCGTGTTTGGCTGCGAGCGTTGACCCTGACCGAACGCTCTGTCCTCCGCCTCACCTGTACCTCTTGTCCCTGTCTAGCGCCCTTGATAGCTACCTGAGCCTCTGCCATCCTTACCTGTCCGCAATTGGAGCATCTCAGCCATCCGATGTCTGCTGAACCCAGATGTGAGTTTGCACGCTCACTAATCACCCACCAACTCTTTCATTAACCCGTAAGCCTGTCTACCTTGGTATGTTTACCCTGTGTGCCTGGGTCCTGCGGTTTTCCTTGCGCCTCGCGCCATACAGTCACTATGATTGAGCCATATATGTATATGCACCCACGTTGCACAAACTTTGATCAAGGGCCCATATCAGCCGAACGAGCGGTGGCGGGGAATAATTGTTTAAAAAAAACCGATGGAAAGTCTGGCCCTGGACGTTTGAGGTTCCCACTCATCGTCGCTGACGTGGCTGCCAACCAACGTGGGAGACCCCTCTCGTTTCGCCCAGGCACTGCCGACTTGATCAGGACCGCTTGAGTGCTTCGGTAGGTATCCATACCCAGTTGGTGTACCTGGGCTAGACAAAAATTGAAAGTTGTAACCATGTTGCTATTCCCTCATGTCACGATGCATTTTGTAGCTGTAGATGTGTTTTCGTGACTTTTTGATTATTGGTGATGTATACACCTTTTACGACAGTATAGCTAAATTCAATGGGCGTGAGATTCTATTCCTGAATCTCTACCGTCCTTCCGCCGTCCCATGCCAGACCTTTTTGATTTCTCAGGTCTCCCAATTGCGCCATCCCCTCGCTAGGGTTTGAATATCAGGTATCAAAGCTATAAAAAAAAAACCAAAAAACCAGGGCACAAGTTTTACGTCCCATTCCCAGACGTACCGCCCATTAGACGTGGTTCGCGATTCCAGAACCCATGTACTCTTTAGTGATACATTATGGCATACATGAGGATTGTATCCCTTGGGGTACAAAAAAACAGTCGAATTCGTTGTTTCCTCAGCCCAGAAGCGCGGAAACATCCATTCTGGAGTCCTTGTCCGCAGATGAAGGAGATGGCGGCGGCAGGGCTTGCTGAACCGTACTCCTCACAGGCGAGTTGGGTGCTGTGAGGAGGTGGGATGGGAGAGAAGGCAGGCGCATGTGGCCAGCTTCTTTTCTATCAGTTGGAGCATTGATGAGGCTACCAAAGGAAGGCAGCGAGCGAGGGGCCGAGTTCTCGTCCATGCGGAGCGGAGCCAGTTGGACAGATGGCGATGTACCCCGCGAGAGGCATTGGGGGGAAGTGGTGTAGCTTGAGGCAGCATCGGACATGGTGGACGTCTCTCCGTCAAGGCCGTCTGTGCCAGGCGAAGAGGTAGAGTTGGGCGACGGAAGCGGCGACTCGAATTGGTAGTAAGGGTGGCTGTGGGTGTAAAAGGCGGGAGAGACAGGCGACGACATGCCGTGTCTCGTGTGAGGGTAGGAGGCGGCATGAGAATTAATGGTGAGAGTGGGTCGGAACCCAGAGTGACCATATCTGCGGTCGTCGTAGCCGGAGGTGCTGCCTTGGTTGGCCCTGCGACGATCGTGACGCTTTCTGCGGTTCTGGCTTCCATTCCACCAGTTCTTGACGGCATTGTCACTGCGGCCGTGGAGCCGTCTTGCAATCTCTGCCCACCTCTTGCCGATCTCGTTGACGAGAACCTCGATTTGGGCACCCTCCTCGGGAGTGATGGGCTCGTGATTCAAGGTGGGCTTCAGGTTTTGATGGAATCGTTCTCTGCATTGCTTCGGTGTCCTTGTTCCCAGGGCTTGAGCAATGCGCACCCAGTTCAATGGGCCCTGGTCGTTGACAAGTTGCATGAGATAGGCGTCTTCCTGTTGGGACCAAGGCCCTCTCCTTTGAGAAGCGAGAGACATTTTTGGCTGTGGGAAAGTTTGCGAGGTAGTGGCTGAAGTGTTGATTTGTGAGTATCGGTATCAACAGAGCACAAGGGAGTCCGACGATAATGTATCAGTGTGCGTGTGTGTGTATGTGTATGGATATGGGAGGAGAAGAAGTACAGTTGTAAAGTGGTAGTTGAAGGCTAATGGCAAGTTGATGCTGGAAGTGAAGAGGCTGAATGAGGTCTTGGATGAGCGTGGGATGTCTGCGTATATATGTTGTTGAGCAGGTGGAAGCAGCGTGGTGGAGAAACCGAGCCAAAAGCAGAAGCGTTCAGGTTGGAAAGGCTGTGCGTTCAGAAGGAGGTGTGTAGGTAGGTAGGCACGAATACTGCGTATGTGACCGACTACAAGAATAAAATTGGAGGGCCTGGGGGACGACGACGAAAGAATAAGAAAGGATAAGGTTTGGGTCGAACCTGGTTAGAGGGTGGGAGAATAAGAACGGGGGTGTCGTAGATGAAAGGAACTTGCCCCAGTCCAGACGAGTAGATCAAAATCAGGATCAGGATCAGAGCAGACGCAGACGCAGAAGCAGAAGAGACGGGTGATGGGTGATGATGGTAAGTGGAGCGACGGTTCGTGAAAATCCCCCGGCACACGCCCCATGTCCCACGCTCACACTCATTGCACGCCCACGCCTACACCCACGCCTACCTTACTTAGCCCACGCCCACCTAGTCCGGATTGGAAGCCAGCCCATGTCCGCGAGAGAAGGTACTTCGTACCATGGGCAAGTGCCAACATCACCGGCAGCGGCAGCGGCAGCGGCAGCGGTAGCGGCAGCAAGCGGTACTCGGTGGCCCATGGGACAGCTCCGGGAGGCAGAGGTCCAGAATGTAGAAGAGCACGACCAGAAGAAGCTGGGAAAGGGCGAGCCGCCTTCCCTGTCTAAGCTTGGGAGTCAGAGGACGGACTTTTGGGGTGAACCTAACAAAAGGGAGCTACAAAGCTAGAAAAGGCATGCGAGGTTCTCGTGCAAAGTACATCTTCCTCTAAGATCGGGAACTGGAGGTGCGGGGATGGGTGAGGGCATGGGCGTGGGCGTGGGCGTGGGCGTGGGCGTGGGCTGGCAACCGCAAGAGATGTGAGAACGAAGAGAAAGAGAAGGAGAAGAAGGAAAGAGACGGAGAGTGCCAGAGCCAGTGCCAATGCTCAGGTCGACATTAGCTGTATCCGTCGTCGTAGTGTAGTTATCGTTGTCGCTGTCGTCGCCTTTGAGCAATGGAAGAGACAAGTACATTTCTTGCGGTACCTCGAGGTCTGGTACGGAGTGTGGAAGCCTTGGTAGGAGAAAGGCCTAGATCCAGGCCCGAGTCGCTCTCTCCAGCCAGTGAGGTGAGTGGGAAGAAAAACTGGTAGCGTGGGAGATCACCTCAAATCGCGGTACGGAACGGGGCCGCTTGTCACTTGCTTCGTACTCATCCAACAGGGTGAGCCATCCGTCCTCGACATACCTTACCTACGCACTCAGTATAGGTAGGATTCGGAGGTACCTCACACCACCACCACCATCACTAGGAAGGTAGGTATCACCAACGAGCCTCAACTGCCCGTTTCCTCCTCTTTCCCTCTTGCCTTTCTTTCTGTTTACTTTCCTCCCCGGCTCGAGATAACTTCAAGTGGTGTCTTCTCGAGCCCAAGCTATCATTCCGCATCACTTCACAATCGTGGTATGAACTTGACCTATTATTGGTCCAAGGGTCACTCGACACTATCTGTTTACTGCACATGGATGACAGAGTGTGACCGCGGGAGGGAACCTATGAACCACGGCCGAAGCTGGTGCCACGACCAGACCCAGGCGACGGGAAAGACTTCTTTCAATTGACAAGCCTGACTTGCGGCTATCTCCTTTCGAGACACACGCCCTTAGCCCTTGTACTGCTTGTCGTACCGCCCTAGTCCCTGTCGACCATCCCTATCCCGGCTCCAGCTTCGCTGCTGGTGATAACCCTTGTTCTTCTTGTGGGATTGGGGCCTGTCCCTGGCTCTCGAAGCGGCCCCGGCTCAAGCCACAGTCCAGAACTAAGCCAACGCCATGGACCCAGCGGGACAGGATGCTCTGTGATCTGATGCCAGGATGATGCTAGGATATGACCAGGCTGTGGCCCGCTGTTGGAACCGGCCGCTGCTGAATGGACGGATGAGGCATAGTAAGAACGACGAGGGTTCCCGATCGTGGAGGTCCAACTGTTTCTTGCCTATCCAAGAGGTACCCAAGAAACGGCACATGCAGGCGCATTCGGAGCGGGCTAGGCACAGCTGATTCGTCTCCCCGACTCGTTCCTGGCTTCTAGCTCTAGCATTGGTGGCATCTGGTCAACGGATAATCATGGTTGCTCATACCGTAATCTCAGAGGTCCTCATCTGCCCTCACCTGCCCTCACCTGCCCTCACCTTACCTTACACCATCTCGCCTGTATGTGCTTGGACTAAGACTGACCATTGAGGGGCAATCTGGGCGGGTCCGAGTTGAGAGATTGGTGTCCGACGAACTTTGCCAGGCGCATTCGGATAACCTCAACTGCTCAGGGATCGTCGTCGGCTCGGTGGTCCTGCTTCATTCATCTGACGGAATGTCACGTATGTGTCTGACACTGTTCACTTGCCTTCGTTGGAGAGACGAAGGTCAACGCACCTTGACACTGCTCTTGAGGTGGGCACAGACGACGGAAGCACGAGCGATACGTCCAGGAGGCTGACATCTGTTCATCTTGAACTGATCCTTTGATTCATGATTAGACTTTTCCCTGCAAGAGTGTCCTCTCTTTTTTTCCCCTCAGTCTTAATTTTCTCAAATTGTGGAATCGTCGGACTCGACTTGCTTTCAACTGATGGATTCGATTGACTTGGTTGTCGAGCTGCATATCTCACAATGATCCAGCTCAACAAGCCGACCGAGTGCGAGTCGCACGATGCACAGACTCTGCATGTACGGTTGGTCAAGGTTGCGGCGGCGCGCACTGGTGCAGAATCTGTGAGCTTTCTGGAGTTGCAATGTCTGTACCCAGCTTGCTTGCGTTGTGCGATGCGGATGCGAGTCGACACGGTACTCTGCGCAGTATGAAGCATACCTGTCCCACGCCGACGCCGCAGACGTTCTTCGGCGAACCCTGCTCGGTACCCCTATGGACTTTTGCCGCTCCCGTTCACGTTCCTGACCCAGTCCGCCTTCGGTCTTACCAAGGAACGATAGACGGATGGACTGGCCGAGATGAGATCGGAGTGTATCAGGCCCGGCCTCGCTGGAAACGGCTGCATTACGCTGCCCACACAAGATCGTACTCATGAGTGTAAATTTTGACGGAAACAACAGCCATGCCATTAATACACTCATCGTCTGCCCATTCATCGTCTCGGGAGGCCCGTCTTGCCTGTGTTCAGCTGGCCGGGATGGGTAATCTGTGGAATGCGACCAGTTGGTGGGCGGACCGGCGATCAGGCCGGGTATGGTGTAAGAGGTGGCAACGATGAGGGGCCAACCCTATTGGTGGGGGATGCGTAAGCCTAAGGAGAAGAGGTATGGTAGGACACACCCGATATTCACGTCGTCAATCTGTCTCTCGGTCTGCATCATGGCCGTTGACTGGCGTGCCGTACGCTGGCCAGTGTGCGTTTGAATGCATCAACAACTTTCTAGAATCAAGCGTAAGCAGATTTGCAATTCAGGGAGGCCAAAGGACGGGTCTGACCGTGACGAGGAACGTCGGTGGAGGGATGGAATGGATACCTCGGGACGAAAGACCGGTTTTGGTGGGGCTGGGTGGTTGATCGAAACAATCCGATCTCTAATAGCTCTCTGGTGCCCTGTAAGGGTTGCTGCCATGCTCTGCCCATCAAGCGTCAACTTTGGCATCTATTTACCTACTTGAAGTCTGTGGACAGGCACCGTAGCGAAAATAATACCGCAAATACAGTATCAGAAGAACAAGATAGAAAAATCGGGGGGCGGTGCCGCTGTATGCCCCGAAGATGGGCCCCAAAAAGAGGCGAAAGCGGGCCAGGTACTGTTGCAAAGGTTGACGTCCAGGTGGGTTATCGGCGTCGTATACCGGTAGGTAGGTATCCGTACGTAAAGTAAACTACGGGTACGAAAAGTCGTGGTTGAGTTCCATGTCTGGGCCAGTCGTGCGTGGATGGAGAGGAGTGACGGGAGTGCATGAATCAGACGTCGGGGCGGGTTTTGGTCTGTCGCGGGCTGGCAGGTCTCATCCGGCACCTTATTGGCCTGGTAGTTTTTGTCAGGAGCGCGAATAGGGATGGCGTGCCGCTACAATGGGCATGGCGCCGTTGCACAATTGCAAATGATTCTCTGCTCTTCTCGGACGACACCGCAGGGGAGCCTTTCCGGGTGGTAGAGCACGAGTTATTGATAGGGGTGAGGGTGAGGGTGAGGGTGTGCGTATGTGAGTGTGTGTAAGAGACACAGAGAGACATAGAGACAGAAACAGAGATACCTAGGTTGAGGAAAACGGTCCGACCAAAGGGACACCAAAGCGTTCGGCCAGACGTCAACGTCAACATCAACCGGCCAGGCACTTCAGGGTCGCCAAGTGAGCCAAGCTTCACGGTTTGTGCTACGAACCTACGAGGTAGGTACTTGTCAAGGAGAGCGGATAGGGCAGGTATCGGTCTCTAGCTCTGAGACTCTTTGAATTACGTCTTGGTCTCCCGTCCGTCCCTAGGCCTGCGTGCCTGGCCTGTCCTGACCTGACCTCTGATGCCGCGGCTTAGGTAAGTAAGCTCATAATGATGTGTAAATGTACGATACGTATCCGTGTCCGCACAGGAATTGTGCACCTACCTTAAGGTACATTACGTTTCGACTCGTACCGACCTTAGGGTATCAGGAGATAGGTACTTTACCTACCTTCCCATAGGTTGTGAAATGTACGTTGCGACTCACTTTGTGCCCGCCTCGAGAGTCGGGAGTCGAGAGTCGGGAGTCAAGACCCAGGACCCCAGAACCCTTCCTTCCCCCGCATCCGCCAGTGTTCAACTTGTCCCGAGTCGAGATGGGCACGTACCCCTGTTTCGAACACTGCGCTACATATCTCTTCAAAACGGGCGTATCCGTACGGATTCAGCGCTAGTAATAGTGCGCCGGACTGGATTTGCCTTGTTTGCCTATCGCGCCGGAAAGAGCATCGTCGAATATTGTGTCCATCAGAGTCCCTCGGAGCATCGAGATGGCACTTAGTGTGCACGGCAATTGCAACGCTGTTTTCAGGCGGCGGTCACGGATGCATCATCGCGTCGTCTTGTCGGAGATTGACCTCATGGCCCAGCTGCGTATCGCTGTTCCCAGAGCAGAGCCACAGCACAGCAGTCGATGAATCGTCTCCATGATCAGACACGGTGGCACGGCAGGATTTGATATACGGATCATGGGATCTCGACCATCTCCAGTCTCTGCTTCTGCAGCAGGCTTTGCACCTCTGTGTCATGACTACTACTTGTGGTCAACAAAGGCACGGGACACGATCTACTGGACAGCCAGACCAACGCAAACCGGCACTCAAAGACGGCCCAGAACTGCAAAGTGGTGGTGGCAGTAACCTGAGGTAGGTAAACGTCTTGGGGCAAGACGGTTACTAAGCTAAAGTATCCCTATCCGCAGGTCGCACCTAGACCGTGGAGTAGGTAGGTAATGCCTTAGCTTAGGAACTCCCATCAGAAAGACGCTGAGAGAACCAAGGTTGAAAGTGGAAAGGACAGTTTCTGACCCCACCCGCATTGCCCGTGGACCGATGTTGCCTGCATCATGAAGTACCTTGTGTACTAGACTCCAGACGGCGAAGGCGATGACTACGCACAGTTCATTGCTCTGTCTCCGGGAATAGTAGCTTCAATGCCCCGGCTTCAGCGCGCGAGAGGACCCCGCTCACTCTCAGCCACGCTTGCTACGGCAGATATCCAGCCCTTATTCAAAGTGAATGGGCCGCGAGGGCTCGACCAGGTCAATAGAACGAACAAGAGACGAGATATACGGGAGATCCTCACAACGTGTGCTAGCCATCGACCGTAGCACATAGGCTTCGAACCAAACACCAGACCCTTGTCCTTTAAGCCAAGCTTTGCCTAGGCAAGGGGACCAGCGGCTGTCAGGGGCGGAGCGTATTGTCCGCGTCACTGGTCAGAGTGTGAACGGACTATTAGGCACAGGCAACCAGTCAGTCACCTTTGACTTGGTTCTGAAATGGGTAGGATGGCTGTATCTGTCATTTTGCGCCCATGTGTTGCTGTTGGCTTCATTCCAGAGAACAAGGCTGAGGCTCAGGCCATCGGTCGTGCTTCATCCACATGCGAGGTATAACGCCAAGGCATGTAGCAACGGTGATGTTCCGTTGATGATGGGATGAGCCATGTCAAATCATGACAAGCTTCCGGAGGGGTCGAGACGAGGGGTAAACCGTAAAAGAGGGAAGAAATGGACGCGTCTGCCGTCTGTTTGGCTCCTTAGCCCTGACCTGAGGTCCAGGTCGTGAAACCTGGAATCAGACAGGGATGTTCATTGCCAGCAGAAACGGGTGGAGAGATACATTTGGCCTTAGGCACGACGGCCGATTACACAGATGACAGTGCCTCACCGATGGACGGTGCTGGGGCGCGCATTCGCATTCGCCGCAAGCTTCCAATAGCCGCCCTGGCGCTTCTACCACAAAACGTCACGGACTCACAACGCCCACATGATGGTTTGGATGGAGCGAAAAGCAGCACAAGCAAATGCATACCTGCCCATACAAGAATGCACACGCCCGTTTTCCATGGCAAGATACGCTGAGCTTGAGGTATCAGCAAACCCTAAAGCTCTGCTGCGTTTCCGGGGTCCAGGGAGCGATAGGGCCGAAGAGTTACGGACGATGCGGAGATGGGATGCTCATTGCTGGCAGCCCAGGCTGTGCCCCAAGCTGCCGAGGCTCAAGAGGAAATCGAATGCAAACACAAGAAGCAAGAAAAGCAACGAGAGACGAAGAAAAGGAAATGAAGAATGCAAATAGGATTTGAAATCGAGGTACATATGCAAGGCGCAACTGCAATTGCAGACACGGACATTACCCGGCATAAGGTACGGCGCTGCAGAGTCTACCGGTACCTGTATGACCGTTCATGCTCCGTTGCGTAAGGTAAGGTAAGGTAAGGCAAGGTTAGGTAGCTTGTTGTCTTATTTGCGCAACGTCTGATAGCGCAAAGCAGTGGGATAGGTATCCAGCAAGCCAAAGTGGGAGAAGGTAGCCAAGAAAGCCAAGGACTGCATGTTTCTCCTACACCGCGCCCTGCCTCGTTCTGAATTCTCGTTTTCAGTATACAAGGTGTGTTCGTACGGACTGTGGGATCATCTGCAAGGCAAAGTCAGAACAGAACGGGGTAAGGGTTAGCCTGTGAGGCACGTGAGAGTGCCAGGGAGGGGACGAGTGAGTGTCTTGCAGCCGTGATCGTTGCGTTTTCCTATTCTGTCCATACTTGGCGAGAGTAGCATCTTGTCTTGTTGACGAAATCAAACCGGGGTAATTACGGAGTAAGGTATACTGCGTACGGAGTACTGCGCAGAGTGCTAGAGCCCAACCTCCAAGCTGCACTCTGCCTGTATGGATACTCGTATGGCAGTGCATGCAGTAGGTATCCGTACGCATGTTCATGGGCCCAATCTGGACCAAAAGTAAGGCAGCAACGAGTGGGATTGAAAGGAGCAGCTTTCTTTTTCCATCGCCGACCGACATCTGAGAATCTTTGGCGTCGTTTCGGCATGGTGGATGCTAAGTAAAAATACACACGTCAGTGCTGAGGTGACGGTTGTCAACAAGCCTGGTGATGTTGGGTGGGTAAGTAGAAAGTCACGAAGGCAGTGGAGGATGAGTTTGCTAGGTACCTAGGTAAGGCAAGGTAGTGTAAGGTGGGCGAGTACGTATCCCCCGACCCCATCCAGCTGCAAGAACCACCTGCCGAATGTGGCCGGCAATGCGAGATCTGGAGAGACCCAAGGGTCTGATTGGCTACCCAGGCGACAAGTAGACATATGGTCAGGTACCCTGCCTTGGGAACGTGCGCCAACATCAACGGCACGCCGCAACAGCCAAGGTGAGATACTTGGTACCTAAGCAACCGGGGGATCCCTTGCCTTTCTTTGCCTTCCATTCTCTCCACAGGCGGAGCAGGGATTAGATACAGAGCAAGACGGCTGGCCTTCGCAACGAAAGGAGGTCGGCACCGGGGTCTGCAGCCCTGGGTCCTGGGCTGGGTCCGTCCTATTTCCTCCTCTGCCGGGTTTATCACAGGTGCCTTGCAGAAGAACACTGCCAAATTCAAGACCTACCTACCTATCTATCCTTGATCTTGCGGCTCTCCGCTCAGGCCAGGATACGGTAGAGCGGGTGCGGACGCGGATGCGGAAACGGAGGCAGATGATACTAGTACTCTCTGTACATGGTCTGCAGAATCTTATTTCTCCATTCTACCTTAGTTGGGTGACTGTCCGTAGAGTCTACGGAACAGGGACGATGCTTCGGGCACTCCCAAAGTAACCAAGGTATTGACGAGTACCTGGCAGAGTTTGGGCGTCAGTAAGCACCGGAACTCTCCGTCACTTCATTTCGTCCCCTCTTACTCGGTCCGGGTACAAATGCGAACTCGCCGTGTCGGGCTCAAGGTGCCAACACCAGAAGTTGGTGAAGAAAAGACACTGTTTCTGAGTTGCCGATGCAAAAGTAAGTACCTCGCTCCGTACTGCGTACATAGTAGAGTAGTGCAGCAACGGTCATTCCTTCCTCATAGCACCTCTGATCTTATTGACCAGGGGTTGGCGTGTGGGTGGCAGGTGCCATGGTGCCTCGAGCGTTTTGGTTGGCGTCCAAGGAAAGAAAGACAAGAAGGTCCTTGTGCGGATCGCCGGGAGGCTTACACACCTTCCTTCCTGTTGGGACCAACCAAAAGTCAGAGCCATCCTGCTGGGACCGCCCGGAAAGAACCAACGGCGGCTTCTTCCCCCGCCAATTCAGGCGCCCAGGGCACATTAGGTAAGGTGCCATCATTGCCTTCCTGAGCATACTAGGTACCTTACCTAGGTAGGTACGTAAGGTACAAATATACGTACAGTTCGGAGTGCCTACCTTACCTCACCTTATCTTACCTAACGTAAGGCAGGTATAATCACTGGCACCAGGCATACCTTACCTCGTGAACTCTCTCGGCTTATCCAAAGTAGTGAGGTAACCTGGGGCAGGGGCCATACGGTAATGTACGCATATCTGCCTAGTGAGGTAATACAGCATCTGCAGGACAGCGCCGTCCGGAGCGTTGAACCAGAATTTGGGGACTGCACCACCATAAACGTATCGCGTCACAAACAACGAGTAATGAGGCACTCTACAGTGCTTATCCAGCTTTCTGATACCACTTCACTCGTCACCCGTTCCCTTCGCCATCTTCCCGATCAAGGGCCAAGGATGAGGAAGTAACATCACGTCTATACATGGTAATCGAGCCTGCCATTATTTCGCCCAAGTATGGATCGTCGGTTCCACCCATGCCACCTCTGGACGCCTCACTGAGCATGCAGCTTCCTCGATAGTGTCACGTGCCCAAGGGCGGTGGTACCAGATATAGAGGAGCAGGGGTGCCGACGAGATACGAAATCCCATTCCGTCAATGTTTCTTTCCTGGCGCGGCAATATGCCATCCGGAGATAGCGTCACTCGCCCATTCACCACCTTACCCTCATCGTCGATGCTGTGGGGTCAAGATGCCCACACTAGGTTATGTCTCTACCTTTACTTTTTTACTTTTCATTGTCCTCGTCAACGACTTTACTAGGCCCGGCCGAGACCAAATATCCAAGCCCAGCCTGGACCCGAGGATCACTGCTTGCTGCCGATGAGAAAGATCCCAAAGACGACAGCCCGTCACCCTACGGGCGTACTTCACGACGCGTCTGGTTACGGCTCCTCCCATCTTGTCGGGCCACTACTAGACTGCTAGGAAAGCTGCCGCATCCGGACACAACATCTCCAAGCCTTCGAAACGCTGCCATGGTCCCCCCTTCTGGTCTGCGCCCGTTGTTGGTAACTGCCAGGCGTACTGTAGACAGTCATCCACATCATTGAGACCTCGACGCATGCGGAAGCACTGGGGACACCCCGACGAATATCAACACTTGGGACTTCGCCCGGCGCGGTCTAGCCGGCCCCCAGCAACGGCCTACAAAGGATTCTCCAGACCACGAGGCACCGAGCTCCTCCTCTGCCACAACGCCTAGTCCTACCGCAAGGCGGCTGTAGGGTAGCCAGACCCCAGTCCAAATCATTCAAGCCCCAGTTCAATCCTAACCAAAGGATTGGGACCACGGCTGGCATGGGTCTTGGGGCCGCGGGATGGTCCATGATTCACATAGCATGCAGCTATTCGCATTCTTTGCACGGTCTCTACGAAGACGGATATTGACGCGAATACACGCCATCGCCAGAGAGAGCCCACTTTAGGCACCTTGGGTGAGACGTGCATGAATGGCGTCTCGTACTTGAGTACTCTTTGTGTCTTCCTTCTGAACCAGGGCCGGTGTGAACCAGACCAACTGACGAGGGAACCCGATCGCAGATGACAGAGAAGAAGAAGGAAATACAAGCGTCAAATCGTAAATCGCGGCAGACAAAAAGAAATGGAAACCATTACAAGGTAGTGCTTGACAAACGAGCGATACATAGCTTGTTTGTCCGCATTTATGGGTGCACCCCTATGGCATTGCGACGGACCTATGGCTACCTCACCGCACTCGCGGTTACGTCCGTCGACAGGTCTGGTCTCCGCAACGGGATGCTAGGGGGTGGCATGGCTTGCGTCCGTAACTATGAATCCAGACCCACACTGGCGACAAACAGCACACCCCCATTCCACGAGAAATTGTCATACCATGGTACCCGACGGTGTGACCCCGCTACTGGGTCGCCGCTAACTCTGGTACAGGTAGTGAAGTTGCTTGCCGGCATGCTTGGGCTGGACGCCGTGGCTGTCTGCCCAACTCCTCGTTCCCATTCCTCTGGGACCTAGGTCTGTTTAGTTCGAGGGGTGTTCAACGGCGAAGGGATGATGGAGCCGTCATCCACCACCTCCTCCCATCATATCAATATTGTCGGATCCTATCAACTTTGCTTGGATATAATCCCTGGCTTCTGGCTCCTGCGATTATCCAGCCGCATCGTATCTGTCGCATATTGGCAAATTGACGGATCGAATACCGTTCTTCTGTCGAATGACTGACACTGCTGCGTGAGGAGGGGTCAGATGATGAGAAACTATTGCACTTGCGAGGTTGATAGCCCGATCATGCAGGATACGTGTCGGCGAGATTTACAACAGAACGAGCCCTTGGGATATCGGATGTCTGAGTTACCTAGCATGGGATGGCAGCTTTCACGCCCATGGCCACGGCAAAACGAAGCATCGGGACGGATTAGCCAGATCGCTTCAACTGCCGACTGGCTCGCTGCATTGGAAGGATGAACAACTCTGCCCCCGCCGATGCTGGAGGGTGCTCCGGGACAATTGTGCCCAAAGTGGTATCTCGTCCGACGCCATAATCGGCGGCGCTGGGCCCGGCCGGAGCCAGCAGCATATTCTTTGACAAGCCCTATGCCGTAGGCGCTGATTGTGGCTTGCGTACCTCGTCCGTGTTAGCTGCGCCCGAGGGCTTGGGACACCGGCGACTAGGTGTCCTGGGGCGGTGGCAGCCGCTGCACCAAGGAGTAGGCTACGTTGAAACCTGCAAGCAAAGACCGTTGGCATCCTTTCCAGCTGTACGGTTCTCGACGTTAGGTGTGCTGTAGCGTGCTGACGGCAATGGACTGGCGAGCGGACGGACCGACACTACGGGACCGGAGGCGCAAGTGGCATACAAATGAACAGCAAGTGCGTTCTCTGCCCGGATACGCATGCTGCAGGTGTTGAAGATGATGCCAACGGTTGGCTGTCGTTTGTCACGCATGCGGGATAATTTGCCCATATCCCTTTGGCCGTCAGCACCTCCGCCAACCCATCCACGACGCTAACCGCCACGACATTTCAGGATGGCATGTTCTGGCACGGACGAAGAAGGCAAGAATTTGGCAAACGCGGCTTTGGGACGATGGATAGAAGAAGCCTTTGACGAGTGAGGGTATCCGCAAGGCATGGAGGAGACGCATGCTGATCCACGTCAGGCATTCGTATTCCTCTCTCTCGCAGAACTATCAGCCCCCTACTCTCTGGCCTTCTCGGACTCGGCAGCTTTAACTCCAGCTCCAACATTCAGCATTCAGCTGTAGAGACCATCGTCTCATACATATGCCATGCATACGGCGGTAGCATGGTGTCGTCGATTCAATAGTTGTAGTCAACTCGCTGTTCTGGGATGATACTAGCATGCCCTGCAATGGTGTACATTTGGTAGCTCCACATCCTCTCCAACAACTAGGTTCCCTCTCCTTCTCCTCTCCCGGGGGCCTTTGGTATGGATCGTGTAATTGGTGAGGTGTGCTTGGTGAGGAAAGAAAACAAAAACTCCGTACGGATACAGGCTAGCAACCCCCCATGCTAGCCAGACTAGGCCACAAATGGACATCACAAGCGAATTTTTGGCGATTTGGCATTTTCCTCATATGCTACCCCTTCCCTTCTGCTGTAGGTATCCCTATCCTTTTTCTTTTTTCCTCCAAATTCCCCCTTCACAGCAGACCCACCTCTACAATTTCATCCCTGGCCCTCTCCCCCCCCCCCCATCCCTGGGGCCTCTCAATGATCTCCAGCCAGGACATGCCGAGTACATAGCTACTCCGTAGACACGGTAATCTCACAGCAAAAGCAGGAAAGAATCATTGGCTCTTAACCGACCCGTCGGTTTCATGAAACAAGCATCCCCACCTCCAGCTGCACCTCACCTGCATCTATTCCCAGCTGACCCCGGCTCGTCGTCGATTCTTGACCATCGCAGGGTGAGAGGCCACAGGCCGACCGTACGGATACACCTCAGTCTAAGGTAGGTAAGGTATCCGCAAGAATACAACAATGGAACTCACCATTGTCATGCAGGGCATATCAGCGCCGACATGTAAAGAAGCTCCGGCCGGTTTCCCATCAGCTCTGTCTGAACTTGTGCATTTGATTCCTCATCGCTCTCCCCGTACCCTGACCATGTCACCGTCACTCGCGTCCCGACCGGCTCCCTGCCGCCTGTCCATTGTCCTTCTCGTCCTCGCCTCAGCTTCTCACTTGTTTCCTTGATCCCCGTCCCCGTATCTGCGCTTCTAACCCCATCTCCCAAACTCCAGCTTCTGCCCAGTGCCATTTATCCAGCCATCCAATCAGTGTTCCCAGCCCTTGTTGCATTTTCAGAGCGAGAATGTTTAGTGCTTAACATGCATCCATCCCCCCTTTCCACCCCACGCAACGATATTGAAGCTCGAGCATCAAATCGTATACTTACGTTTACTCACAGTCCGCTCGTCATTCCACTCCAGCAGGGATTTGGGTAGCCAATGGCAGGGGCTGGAGCTCTTTCCGCTCAGGTGAAGACAATGCCTGACAGCCTACTTCTTCCGACTACCTATGCGGACTGCACAGTCAGCCATCTTCCCCGTCGCGAGGTAAGCTCTCATAGAGGAGTCTCAGTCGTCGGAGTGACCTTGTGCAGAGCAGATTCCGGCTACAGCTCATGGCCATAGCAGAATCATCCGTGCGGTGTTGTTTACACGGCGGGCCAACATCTACTACCTCGTATAGCATGAGAGCGATTCTCTCCGTGGTGAGCAGCCCTTTGGCGAAAGACCACATCGAGGTTTTCACTGTTCGATTGACTCCCCATGGACAACCACGAGAGCTATAGTAAGGATTCGAAAAGTCGAAATGGCCCATCATCTCCGTATCTACCTCAGTATACCCTCTCGCACGAACTTCTACTGCACAAGATAATCACTATATCACTGACCATTTTCCTGAGGTCCTTGACACATCCCACCTCTCTGACTCGGCGACGGCCCACTAGATGAACCAAAAATGCATCTTCACCATGGCTTCAATGTTGTTGGCGTGATCAGGACCAAGCTTTCATGGGTCCGGCGCCAGTAGCACTGCTACTCGGTGCAAGTGTTAACAGACGAATGTCCGAGCGAGGTCTTGTTATTTAGTTCCACGGCAGCGGTACCAGCACAACGGTTCCTGGCAACGGTCCGTTACGTCTGGAGGATTAGCCAGCCAGCCACATCTCTGTCGTAATGGCTTGACCAACGATGGCAATTCTAGCCAAATCCACGGATACCTAGGCCGCCCTTTGGCCAGCAACCTGCGTCGGACTATTGACAAGCGACGGGTAACCGGCGTGCCACTGAATTTGTTACCGTCGCGAATAACGTGGCCATAATTTGTCCAACGCCTCATGCCCCCTTTGCCCTGGCCTCAAGCCAGCCACAAGATGTGAACCAGTGGTCCCATATCCTAGCTCTTTCGTGGAACTGGAATGCAGACTTCTAGGTGATCTACCATCATGCTTGATTGACTTGCTCTCATGCCGTCTTCCGTTTTGATGAGACATTGAAGACGGTCGACAACTGCGAATCGTGGACGGGAAGGACTCGCTGGTACCCTGTGCTAGTTTACCTCGACCACGGTGAATCCCATGTGCCAACTTTCCTCCGGAAATGATGCTTTCTGTTGCGCTTGTTACTGTTTCTGCTGCTTCTGCTGTTGATTTCGTTGTTATGGTGATTATTATCAAAGAGTGCCGTCGTGATGTCCGAAGGCCAAGAGTACCTGAGGAAGGAAGATATAGAATTTTCGACCATGTTCACACAGACAGGGATCACATCAACGTCAGTCGAACGTGGCTCTTGGTACCGTAGCGGCTTCGAGATGTCACGGCGTACCACGTAGATCTAGCTAGGTGGGTTCGAGCGGTCGTGTATATCCTCCAGGCCCATGACTCCTGTCTCGCACAAGCCCATCCTACTCGTCGATTGGCACCATCGTCCAGAACCACTTAACGGTTTTGTTCTCCATTAGATGGGAATTCATTGGCCGAATATGTCGTGAGAATTCACGCGTCACTATCTTCAGGGATAAGACGGGGTAATCAAATGGGAGGGCCAGTGGGCTGATGGAAGGATGTAGATCTTTTCTCGCACATTATTTCAGACTAATCTTGCTTGCTCGAATTACCGACACCTCATGGTCTTGGCTGATGGGAGATGAAAACGCACATGGTTTTATTCATCGAGTCTTTGGACCACTTCCCCACGCTCACTGTTTCTACAAGGAGTATGACCTTTTTCTCAATACGGCTGTCCCTTTCTCTCCTCGCCTCAAATGTTGTCGACTGGATGGCTATCAGGCTATGATCCTTATCGCCATGTTGTTGGGGGAAAAGATCTGGCTCCAAAACCACAGGTCCCTTGCTGCAATCCTAGTTTCCACGTTTGTGGCGTTCGTCCTCCTCCCCGGTGCCCCTAAGTAGGAATGGGCATGGTTCGATAGCGGTGCGACAATTGTCTCCGGACACGCACACACCCAGCTCATGGGGAAGCTACTTCAGTTAAGCCTAGGTCGAGAGTCATTACTGGTTCCATGCTGACGCCCCATCTCCATTCTAAAGCCTCTCATATTTCGTATATGGAGAGAGAAACATTGTCGTCCTCGGCTTGCCATTGGTTGCTTTACGGAACGCTGGGCATTCTCATGGTTGACGAAGCGAGTCAACGGTGTTCTTGCCGCCTACTTAGCTTCCCTGTCCACCGGTGTTCCCATGGCACAAATGTTACCACAAGTCCACAATGGGTGCGTTGGCTACACCTGCTTGGTGAAAGTTTCCACATTCTCTTGATATCCGATCCGAGAAAGAATAAGTGGCGCTGACTCTATGCTGAATCCCAGTCTTGACCTCCGTTATTCCAAACCAGCCTGGCCCTCCCATGTCGCCGTCTCTATTGGACGTTGCTTTAAGTCCCTGCAGACGCAGCCCGTGGAGGTAGGTATAAGGATGTCGGTGATAAAATAGCATCAAAGTTTTGACCTTGATTCGGATGGTCTGATGGCCGGCTGGAGCTTGTAATGTAAAAGCAATGAATTCCAATCAAAACATGGATCGCGGGGGCCTCACATCTCACGTGGACGAGGAAAGAGGCCCAGGGTATTATTATGTACATCATAGCCTGCTCCGAGGTAAACCCTCCTCCAAACGCCGGCTCCATCCCGCAACCAACACTGAGCTTGCCTCAGTAACGTCAAAGCAGTGAAAGATATGCTCAGTTCATCGAGCAGTATTGCTCTGGACTGGTGTCTATGCAAATCAATAGCATATCCTCCGCCTGAAACTCCCGCCCCTGATGTCTAAACCTGGCCAGCACCTTGGCCAGCCTGCAAGTCCCTAGTGGTGCATCCAGAATAAAAGTCAAAGAAGATTGCCCCAAAACGAACATGATTTCGGCAAGTATAAGTACTGGGCGCGAGCTCTTCGTCCCAGCACATGAATGCGTAATCAAAGTTGCCATGCCCCTGAAAGAAATGCTGGAGCCTCTACAAGTAGATGTCTCCATCCTCTCCTGCCACCCATCGTCGCCACGCCTCGTCGTAGGCCTTCTCTAGATCAACTACCCATCGTCTGGTATCGAAAAGCGCACAGGTCCATTTGCTGTCCCACAGTGTTTTGCGCAAGGTTGCCAACCGACCCCTGCCTTCACCATAGCCACCACGACCGACTCGATAGGACAGGCCATTAGCTAGTCTGATGGCAAAGAGCTCGTAGTCTTCTTCACTGCCGGCGATGAGGTCTTTTGCTGCCTCAACACCCACGGGACCTCTAGGCAGCGCGCCCTTCAAAATTGATGCCGCCATACGCGAACACATCTTGTAGGGGTATCGTGGTAGTGTGAGAAGAGGTGTACTAGACCACAATACATCTGCGGCCGTGGTGTGCGCGTTACACTCGGGAGTGTCGAGGAACAAATCGCAGACGCGAGCTCGGGATATATGCTGGTTCTTCGGTGCCACGTCCGTGAAGATGATTCGGCTAGCAACTTCTTCCCCGGCCCAATCCTTCGCCGTCCTCCTAAGATTTGTTTCTCCCAGTTCGGGGAATCGCAAGAGCCATAGGATGGCCTTGGGAGCCTGTGCTAGGATGCGTAGCCACGTCCGAAATGTTGTAGGGTCGATCTTGAAA